CCCCCAACCTAATGGATCAAACAAAGGACATCATTTGTAGGCCAAGTCTTTTTCTGAGCGTCTCTCTCCTCAGCTCTGCATACCAATCCAATACAGCCCAAGGAAAAAAAGCCACGCTGTGGTACGAGTGTGCGTGTGTGTGTGTGTGCGTGCATGTGTGTGTGTGTCTCTGGGCCGGGGGTTGGAAGGTCTGTTTGCCTCTCCGCCAAGCATCGATTTATCCTTTTCTCCAATTTATTTCTCCTCCTTGCCTCTGCAATCCATTCAGATCTGCCTCTAGGGGAGGAACTCGGGGTAAAGACGTTGTCAGGCCTTGCCGTTGCCTCCTAACACCGGCTCAAAACTCATCTACAGGCCCGGGGACCGTGTACCCCTGCAAGGACACGTCGGGCAGCAATGTGTGCATGCAAACAGCTACCTGTCGTCCGGCGGCACACTTCTGTCAAGGCTGTAATTGGCCTGATAATGCAGCATAAAGGACAGTGACAGGGGCTTGTGAATTTGTTTCAGCTCAAACGCTGGGGCTGGAGCAATGATTAAGTAGACCGCAAAATGTCGTCTAATTTTCTAAGGAGCGTTATACCCTGGTGTTTTTTCTGCAGTAACAACTGTTGGAGAAGCCAGAATGATATTTAATTGTTCCTCATAATCAGGCCTAGACTACGAGCAGATATGATGGGAATAACAATATCTGGAGTCCCGATTCAACTGTCTGATCCTTATCTCTGCCTGTATGATTCTGACATTTTCAGATGTTATTACTCACACTCAAGGATTTGTATCCTAAAGCCTCGACAGTGACGACGACGGCGCTCAACAGAAATGCTGCATGTGCACAAATCCCACGGCTCTACCCCCTATCCACACACACACACACACACACACACACACACACACACACACACACACACACACACACACACACACACACCCTTGACAGAGATCTGTGAGCCATTCTTCAGTGTCACAGTGAGCGACGCCTGGCACATCCTTATACCTGAAGTTGATCAATGCAGATATGTCCAGGGGGAAATTGAAATCCATAGGAAATTAGGCGACGCAAGTGATTTATTGGAACAGTAAATCATGGTGCCTGTGATGTGTGGAGAGTCTGTGTTCCAGCTCTGTGCGCCATACTGTACCTTTCCTCTTAGTGACATGGCGATATCAGCAGCTCGCACCTTCTTCTCCCTCTCCATTTGGTAGATCCACTGCAGCAGGTCCATAGGAGGGGACTGGTCCCTCTGGAACAACCACCCATGAGGGATAGGGTTATTCAACCCCATGGACACAACACTCTGCAGGGGTCCCTCTGAAGTTAAAAATAGAAGCACAATTAGATTGCTGTATGCCTCACTACCTATGTTTCTATCTACAGTACATGCCAAATATGTTTCTATTGCATTTTTAAAATAAGACAGGAACGGTTCTGTGGTCTGTAAATACATAAAGTGTGCTGGAGTGGCTCTAGCTCAGGTAGTAGAGCGGGTCACCTACTAAGTGCTCCAGTCTGCATGCCAAATATCTTGCCCAAGGATGCATTCATCGGAGTGTGAATGTGTATGAATGCTAGTTAGGTAGCACTGAAAACCTAGAAAATTGTGATTGGGTGAATGAAAAAGTTGTGTAAAGCGCTTTGAGTGCTCAGATAGAGTAGAAAAGCGCTATATAAGAACCAGTCCATTTACCATTTCTGAGGTTAGTAGCAGAAAAATGTTATTCAGGCAGTTTTGCTAAAATAAATGATATTGGGTGATATTTGCTTTGCAATTTCATTTTGCACATACATCAGAAGATTTTATCGAGTCAATCCTGTTTTGTTACAGTTTACAAACTGTTATTTTCAGCCATTGTTGTGCAATATTTTTATATGCAGGGTTTTACTTGCAGGAGGAGTTCTTGTTCTTCCAAAGAGCCCTTATTTAGATTGATATTAAAATCAGCAGCAGCTGATTTAAAACCAGATTTTTGAATTTATACTTCTGTTACTCAACAAGAAAATTTACAGTACTTTTTTGTTTTCGGTGAGATACTGCAACACAGACTCATTGCCTTCACCCCACCAAGGGCTCACTGTGAGCCAAGAGAGTCATGCAGGGGTTTTCATTGTTAGCAGCAGACTCTGCCATTTCAGTGTCCGACTCAAACTGTCTACCCTTCAAAAGGGATTCCCTGCATGAAGATGCAATCCAGCCTTTCCATTTATCTCACTGACATCATCCTCTTTAGTTAGAATAAGTAAGCGCAGTGACACAACATATCCATCTGTTCCTTGCATTAATAATATCAAAGAATGTGTAAGAATCATTTTGCAGAATTAAAAAAAGAAAGAAAAAAGCAGGAAGCATGTATTCTATCATATTACAGATTATAATATTGTAGTAATAGAGGCACACACACACATAAAAAGCACTAGTCTGTTCTCAACTTAGAGGATGCTTCTCAGCTTTCTGTGTATTAAAAGATCCCTGTAAGGATGAAACTGCAGGACAGAGTCACTTACAGCACAAACAGCAAAATGAAAAATATATATCTGACAGAGTATTTGTAGTTGAGGGGACTGAGTTCATGCACAAATGTTCAAATAAATCCACAAGCTTTCCTTGAGAATAAAACAGAGATAGTGTGTAGTGTGAATCCCGACTGAAGAATCAGCCCCCCACCTCTCAAACACTCCCAACTCCCCCTGCCTTTGCTGTTTTTTTTTTCTCTTCCAGGTACATCACTTGTGTTCTTCTAGCTTGTTTTTGTCCTGCTTTAATTGCTTTTTCTTTTTTTTTTCCTTTTGCAGCGAAGGAAGAAAAGACAACAACAAGGCGGTGAGGGCTGCAGCTAATGGAGAGGCTGTAATTGTGAATGGAGGCATTCATCTGGAGACATCGTCCGTGAATTGCGCTGCACAATACCCAGCGCCGGGCTGCTCAGATCACCAAGCAGTCACCAAGCACGCGTGCACACACGCACACGCGCACACATATAAACATGCTGAACCCTCAGATCACTGGTGCTCAGAGGAGCAACGTAATCACACTTCCGCAGAGAGAAAGACATCGAAAAGGGGAGGAGAGAAGGAGAGGCTGAAGAGGGGGGAGGAAGGGAAGAAGAGAGGAGAAATTATACAAGGAGATAGGAGGAGAGGAAGGGGGAGGAGGAAAACGGAATGGTGAAATTGATGTTTCCTACCATTTGATTTGGGCCACAGAGCCCAGGAGGCAGATCAGATAGAGCTACATGCACACACAGAATCAGCACATGCAAAGAAACAAGGATGCATGCACACCATCCCTCTTCCATAGAGCCCATACATGAAAGACACGCATGCACAGACTCATATACAGAGGCATACATTTAAAGCCATAAATCTGTACAAATATTATGTAAATAACCTGTAGAAGCTCACAGAACCATCTCACAAACCCCATAATTTCTTCTACCTGCTTGAACATTCAAACACAAACACACAAATGCACACACACATATTTTTTAAAGAAGACACAACAAAGCCTATAGTATGGAAGGAAAAAAAAAGCCCTCATCCCGGCGAGGCGAGACGAGACGAGGCACCTGTCAGCTCGGTGGTTCCTGCTACTACAGAGAAACATCAAGAAACAACAACTCAATTAAGCACACCATCCCTGTTCAATTACTGCCACATAATCACAGCAATTTACCTTCACTTGCTGCACAGCCACCAAACAAACACACACAGAGGCACAGCCGCACGTACAGAGGCGGTTTCCCCTCACAAACGCCAGCAGAGACACAGCCGCATCACAAAGACTGACCAGACTGGCTTCATTCTACACATCATTAATGTGAAGCTCATCTGGAGGCATCCGCAGGCTAACCAGCATCAAACAGACACGGAGGACACGGCAGAGAACAATTTAAGTGAAATGCTTATTCACTAAATATGTGATGAACAGCAACAGCACTTCCCAACATGTCCATTACAGTACTGCCACCACTATAAATAGCACAGCTTCTGTCTAGCAAATGTAGCTCGGTATATTTAAGGGTACGCGCTGTAAGTAAGTAACAGAAATCATTTGTGACCCAAATCTGTTCATCTTAATCACTTCTTGCACATTCTTTATGACACCAGGGATCTCAAAATCATCAGTAAGTTGCTATAATTATCATCATCATTAACTAAGAGTGAAATAACCTTTCCACAATGGTCCTGTTTGCTATTGTGCCTTGCTTCTGATATTCTTTTTCTGTGAGTGGCATAAAGATTTGTTATTTTATCTTTCCAAGAAATCAGACAAATTTTGTGTCTTCAGACGGTGTCCGTTGAGTTGCCTTTATATAAATATACAAGTTCTGCTAAAACTGTAACACACAGGTTTAATGCTAAAAAATGGCAGCAGTTCCTCATGGGACCTCAAATAAACAAAGAAATTGTACACAGTGTAGTGCAGTGAGATGGCTTTCCCCAGTTTGGCCAGCACAAAGCTCAAACTCCATCCATACATGTTCAGGATGAGTGAGAATGCCAAATGTGAGCCATGGTTTCACCCATCATCAGCATGCAATCTAAATAATTCTTCTGTGGCAGAACAAGAGCAAATCCCTCCCTGTAAAAAGAAACAAGCCTAGGGAGTAGTAACGCTGACTTAAAGGCATTCAAAATCTGCAGAAGTCTGTTATACACTAACACAAACATAGCAGCTAAAGACCACATGACCCAGGGTGATGCTGATGCCATCTGCCAAAGATTCATTTTTAAAAGGTAACAAAAAGCAGAGATCAACAGGCTTATAGGATCACGCAGAGGAGAGACATTTTTGGGACAAATCTACAGTTGAAGTGCTGTTTCAATGATAATTTTCTTGTGCAGCTAGTTTTCATCAACTTTGCAGTCAGTATTGTGATGATGTAATAGTGTAACATATCACTTTCTACAGGGAACTCATTAATTACTTTAAAAAGTACACATATTAAGTACAATCAAGTCTGAAACATACAAATTCATATCTTACTAAGTTTAAGTTTACTGTTTCTATGACAAACTTCATATTTAGCAGACAGATTTGGAAAGCTATTTATAAAAAATATGAAAACGCACTCTAATCTATTCTGCACACAGCGTAATACAAGCTAGTCTGGAAATTAGAATCATCCAAAGTCATGACTGAGGGTGATGCTCAGGGCACAGTGTGGCTAACTGGCCCACTACAGAATGATGTCACTGGGGATATGACTGAGGAATAGCAACACTGTAAGAACCTGTGAATGAAGTGAGTGTGTGTGTGGACAGCAGATTGACTAACAGCTTGAACTTGGGTTAGATCCAGGAGCATGGGGAGGGATACATGGATGGATGAAGAGAGAGGGAGGAGGGAAGAGGGGGGGAGCCATTGATTTCTCAACAGAGAGATCAGCATCTTGACAGAAAGAGACGAGTGAGCAACGGAGCAAGACACACACACACAGAAAAAGAGAGGAGATACCCACTGCGGCCCTCGGGTGAAATTCCATGACTTTTCCATAACTGAGCTCGAGTACTTTTATGTCGTAAAAACACACCTCCTTCCTAATTTGGGCTGAAACAGGGATGTAATGCGAGGAAAAAAAGAAATCTAAAATAAATCTAAACTTTGACAGCACTTTGGTTAAGGTTCCTGACTTTGCCTGACTATCAGTAAAAAGTGATATTCCAGGACCTCCATGACCAGTGTGAACCCCTGTTGACAGAGATCAACAAGAAAGTCTGGGTACGTCTCTCTCTCCCAGCATGCCTCGGTGAGTCTAACAAACCTGAAACCCCCGACAGGGACACAGAGGAAGGCGCTGTGGCTTTATGCTGTGTGTGGCTAACAAGGTGTGTGTGTGTGTGTGTGTGTGTGTAAGTTGTGTGCAACAGGGAAGCTGACACACACTGTGGAGGAACGGGTGGGATTGAGAAGGGGCAGCCAGGGGTCACGCTGTAATTACACATCATAGTCCCTGTGGTCAGTCCACTGACTTCCTCTGACTGCGGTGCCTCAGCCACACGAGCAGGGATGGCAGGTGGTGGTGGGAGTGGATGGTTGTAGGAAACTTGGAATAATAAGGATAGCACATGTTATATCTATTTTCAGATTTCTATTGTTTAATTAGCTCGTGTATTATTTTTTCCTTGTCCTGTTTTTTATATTAACTCCGTGCATCGTTTGCAGTACGTCCAGCACACATGTCACACCTCTACAGTAACTCAGCCTCCATGCCCACCTCAGAGTGTACCGGTTGCCGCTTTCACATACCGTGCGTGGTCCTGTGTGGGTGGTAGGTGCCATAGAGGATGAGTGTAACGCTGTGTAGAGCTCCGGCTGCCTCCTCTTCACTTGGCCTTGCGCAGCTCCTCACTGTGCCCTTGCGGTCAGTCACCTGGAAACAATCACCATGACAAAGACACCATTTCACCAAAAAATCGATCAATCGATCAACAAGTCAATCAATATTTTATGTGAAAATGTCCAAACACAGCAATACTAAAACCAAAGGCAAAGAATGAGAAGATCTGGCAGTATGTGAATAAAGCATGTAATCGTTAAACTGAGAATTTATCTTACAGTAAACTATTGGATGAACCTTTTCATGATGGAAAAAGTTTTTTTTAGGAAAGCGCCAGACTTCTCTTATAAAAAGGTGATGAAGTAATGGTATACATAAACATGAAATGGATTTTGATCTGTAAATTATCATGCAGGATCCATTCTGGCATAATTTAAATATCTAACTTTAGTTCATATCAGCTGAATTAATCCCAGATGCTTACATCGGATTGTGCACATGCGTCCCAACAGAAGCTCTGGTCTCAAGAGGTTAAGAAAGAGAATAAACATAGTAGCAGACTTCCCAGCATGCACTGTTACAGAGATAAAACTCCCCATAGTCTCTGTCCGTTACTTTTACATTTATTAAAGCATAAAAACTGTGAACTAACGCTTCTTACTTTGTTTAATCAACCCACATTTTTAAGGCAGGAAGAGCTTATGTGTTAAAACCAAAGTGTAGATTACAAAATCATAAAGTCTTCATACAACAATACAAAAATTAACTCGATGGCAACCTTGAGTGTATAATGTGGATGGATATTCAGTAATGTGTTTTTTATAATGAAGATATCTTCTGGAAAGAAGGAATAAGGAATACTGTTACTGTAAGCATCAGTCTCAGCCCAGAATTTCACATCCACAGTTTTTAGTTTATTTATTTATTATTTTTAAATTGAGTTTAAGAGTTTAAGTGAAGGACAGAAGTTATTCATTTACTCTAAACAACCACAAAGAGTATCGACATGCCAACTGTTCAGCTGTTTTAAGGGATGTTTTTGGCTAGAGGTGGGTGGGGGTGAGATCATGTGACAGCTCAATCTGATGACTTAGTACTTAAAACTTGTACACAACAACAACACAAAAGACTTGTGACCTTTAATTTACAACGAAAAGCCTTTGACTGTCACAGCAGCCAATGCAGCGTGTTGCAGCAAAAGTGCAAGTTGAGGTCTGTAATCTCCAAAGGTACAAGATGAATCATTCTGTAATTATCAAGGCAAAAATTAACTTCATCCCTACAAGAGCTGGTGAAGAGCATTCAACAGTGATCTTAGAGAAGCAACTGTTGCTGCCTGTCAATATGACAAGTGGTATAAGAACATTTCTTTTAACAATCTGAAGTCACCATTCCAAAAACAGAAACAGTATTCATTAGTGGAAAACATTCTAGACAGCTGTCAGTGAAATTCACCTCAGCATCAGTCCGTGCAATGCGCAGAGAAAGTCCAAAAAGATCCAAAAGCTACATCTCATACTCTACAGAGCTCACTTAGCATGTTAAATGCTAATCATGACTTGCAATTAGAAAAAGGCTGAACAAATATGGCCTGTTTGAAAGGGTTGCAAGGAAAGAGCTTCTTCTTTCTATTAAAAAGCAAAACAAAACATGGCAGCGCATCTTAAGTTTTCAAAATTGAATCTGAACAAACCGCAAGACTTTTGGAACTATGTCCTTTGGACAGACGAGACCAAAATGGAGATGTTTGATGTGATGTTTTGTCCAACTGTCAAGCACGGTGGTGGAGGTGTGATGATTGGGTCTCGTTTTCAGTCACAGGACCTGGATACCTTGCAGTCATTTGGTCAACCAACTGTCGACTACTGCCATACAGACCTAGATCTAGGTTTAATCATGAGGCCATCTGTCTGACAGCTAAAGCTTGTCCCATATGTGGTCAAGTAACCGGACAAGGATCACAAGTGCACCGGCATATCTACAACAGCAACAGAGTTGCAATGGCGCAGTCAAAGTCCAGCCTCAACCCGACTAAAATGCCTGGCAGGACCTTAACAGATCTGTGCATAAACGAATGCCTGCAAAATTCAATGAACTGAAGCAATGCTGCAAAGAAGAGTGAAGTCTTCAACAACAATGTGAGAGACTGATAAAGTCATACGGAAAACTATGACTTCAAGTTATGGCTACAAAGGGTGGTGAAAACTATCTTTTTCACTCTGTCATGTCAGTTCTCTGACTTCCTCTTTCAATTACATCAAATCATCATTTTATTCATAAATCAGGACAGTATTTGGATAAAAAATGGAAAAATGAAATCTTTTCTGTAGCTCAGCCCACAGATAATTAAAAGAAACATATCTAAATTACCTGACTGTTATGAAAACCCACAAAATCCCCTTTTAGTCAAGCATTGTTCAAAGATGGCTTTATACCATAAATCTGCCACATCAACTGTCCAGTCTGCCTCTCTGCCTGTGTGTGTGTGCATATGTGTGTGTGTATATTCTACGCAGTGTGTGTGTGTGTGTGTGTGTGTGTGTGTGAGTGTGTGAGAGTGCTCAGAGCAGATCGGAGGCCAGGCATGGCAGCCCCCAGCTGAGTGCTGCATTGATTTGTTGTTGGTAAACAAACAGCTGGATGCTACAGGTGGATCGATATGCCTTGCACGCCTCCTCGCCTCCCAGCAGGACTTTCTACTAGGTTGACATGGCTCTCTGAAGAGCTGCAACCCTGCTGTCACCGGGAAACCTCACGAGTCAAATATTTCAAATTCCAGATTGTTTCTAATTGAGCTGAAGTTCGTTTTACACATAAAGTTATGTTCCTGAATCCATAAAATATGCTTGTGAGTTCCATAACTTTGTAATCATTTTGTAAAGCACATATTTGGTGTCAACTATAAGTGCACCTTATCTTCATTATAACTGAAGATAAGGCAAAAATTAAGAAGCAGTCATCCAGCTATTACACTGAAGGCGTGATGAAAATGATATTTAACTACAATGTTATAAAAAATGTGAGAACTACATGTGGAGACAAAATCGGGGCACAGAGGATAGAAAGATATTAAACTGACTTTTAGACAAAAGGGAGACAAAGAACATGAAAGGATTAGCAGAAGTAGAGGAACAGAGGGGAAAGTGGAAGGATTTCAAAAGCCAGAGAGAGAGAGAGAGTGAAACTACAGAGACAAAAAGAAGTGGGAGAGGGGGATTAGTGATGGGCGAGAGATGGCAGGATATCGAAACGGGTGAGTGTCAGGGTGATGGGAGCGAGACCCGGTGACTGGGAATGATGAGGAAGGAGTTCAGAAAGAGATACTGATACACAGGTAGTGGAATTGTGAAAAAACAACAACATAGGAACAGTGAGAGATGGTGAGAGTGGGAGGATGATAGACAAAATGAGATGAAAAGAACAAAAACAGAGCACAAATTATGCATTTAGCGGAGAGCATCACTGAGAAAGACAATTAAATGGAGACATGCAACGAAAAGACAAGAAAACTGTACTTTATGATGTTTTCAGTGCTTCTTCCCAGAGGAAGTATCAACTCCTTTCCAGGACACCCCGCTCCACATTTATACAATCAAACACCTGGAAGATACTTTCACCACAAGTCCATAATTCTTAAAAGTACAGCTCCTCTGAGAAAGGACGTGACTTTGCACCGTTGTAAATTTCTGAATCAAAGCAAAGCTCGCTAGCAGCTACATTAGGCATCACTGCTGTGTCATTTCTCCAACCATTTCTACACCATCCTCTCCTTCTTAAAAGTTGACACCTTTTTACAAATACGTACTGATTGTTTTGCAGGTGGCAGATGTTTGTTTAGTCACTGTTACTATGGGTGTTAATTCTAAATAAATGGCTTTGTTAATTCTGCCAAGAAATGGTCAGTTTGTGATGATATAAAATACTTTCCTGAGATATGCTTCCACATTTTTTAAATATAGATTCACTTTAATCTGAACCAATTATGCCTTCACTCTTTTTTCTCTCATGCAGTGGGGGAAATACTTGTAATAACGATTTGATCGCCTGCTAATTTTGTAAGTTTGCTCACTACCAAAGAAATGAACAGTCTGTAATTTTGTGCTAGTTTTATTTTAGTGGAGAGAGAGACAGGATATCAACCAAAAATCTGAAGTTATAAATTGATTTGCATGTCACTGAGTGAAAATAGTATTATTTTATTTATTAGTATTATTATGAAAAAAGTAGTTGATCCCCCACAAAAAACTTGACTTGATATTTGGTGGAGAAACCCTTGTTGGCAAGCACACTAGTAACACGTTTCTTGTAGTTAGTCACCAGGTTTGCACATCTCAGGAGGGATTTTTTCACTCCTCTTTACAGAAACTCTAAATATTTTAGGTTTCTTGGCTGCTGCTTCACAAGCTTCAGCTCCCTCCACAGATTTTCTATAGGACTGAGGTCTGGAGACTGGCTAGACCACTCCATGACCTTAATGTGGTTCTTCTTTAGCAGAAGGTGGCAACTAAAACAGTTGCTACCTTCTCACCAAACTTCTTACTGATGGACTTCACATTCCAGCCTTCTGCAGGTGTACAATCTTGTCTTGACCAGGTCTTGACCATGGTGGTGGAAGAAGCTGATTCTGTGGGCAGGCTAGCATTTTATTCACGTAATGAGTTGAGATCAGGATATAAGACATCTATCGTCTTATTTATAACGATATAAATCACAAAAATTGAACATTTTCTGTAAATTCTGTGAATCTCGGGCAGCTCGACTTGCGTGAAGTGTTTCCAGCTGGGCGTCATGTACTCGGTTTCGAGTGTTTGACCCAATCCATGAAACTATATATTTTTCTACATAAGTTGTAACGGCCGCCGTTTTCGTTGTATTTATTACACGGTGTGCTGCGGGGGAAAGCCCGTTCTAACGTTTGCATCTAAGGTTTATTTTTTAGCACATAACGGCTCTTTTTTGCTTCTCATCCGTAAACACTCTACATACTGTTTCACGTGATTCAGTTTATTTTGAAAAGTCTCAACAGGATCTTGAGCTTTATTGTGAAAGGCTTATGTGGAAAATAAACAAGCGGACACGCCATGGTTTTACCG